CCCGCCCGCAGGCCCGCAGGCCACTCCCCGCACTGAGAGTGTTGCACAAGAGTGAAAATCACAGGAATGTGCAGAGCAGCTCTGCGGCTTTGCAGGACTCACAGATTAGGAGTTAGTCCAATTTACAAGAGAGTTAGTAGAATAAAGAAATTAAAGTTATTAAAACTAGAGGTTAGTTAGTTGAAAAACTTTCGAGTAAACTTTCTGGAGGCTCGAACCTGCTGCCTAACTTTATTCTCATTAATAAATAATCTTCCTGAACATCCTTCTGGATCAGCTTTTATTTTGGTGTTTCTGCTCTGGTCCAGATCTGTGGATCAGGAGGAGCTGATAAGTTTAGTAACTAGACTACTTAAAAAACTTCAAATATTTACTTTAATTGCCCAAATTTTCCGGGAGTTTGTTGCCTTGGAATGTGAAGTTCATCCAGCCTTTTTTTCTTTAATATTTTTGCCCGTGAACCAGCAGCTTCCAGCTTTTCCGGCTCGGCCTGAAGGGGTCTGTGGGCTCTTCAGGGAAGTTTTCCACCGTGCACACACCATGCACACGCCGTGCACGTGTCGTGCACAGGCCGTGTTTCCAGAGCTAAACGGAGCCGTTGAGCAGGTGACTCAGCGGGGCTCGGGGAGCTGAGCTCACCACGCAGTGGCGAAACCTCACGGGGAGGAATTCCTCTGGAATTCCTGTGGAATTCCTGTGGAATTCCTGCCTGTGGAGGCAGTGGTGTTGGGGAGCGTCCGGCTGGTTTGACCGTAGCTGGACCGGCAGCCTCTGAAACGTCCCGGCTGGAGCTCTGTTTTCCGTCTCTGAGCAGGCTCACATGAGCCGGGGCTGACTGTAAACACTGTAAACCCAGCAGACTGTAACACAGGACACGCACAGCACGTGCACGGTGGAAACTTCCCAAAGGTCTCCTCAGCCAGAGGCTTCTCCAGGAGCTGCCTGCTGCCCCCAGACCTCAAAATCTGTCAGAAATCCTGAACTAAATGAGTTCTAACGAGAATTGAATCCCTTCTGGGAGGAATAAAGTGTTTGTTTTTCTACTGAAGTGATGTCCCAGCATGCTTTGCAGGGAAAACTGGATTGAACTGGAGGAACCTGTAAAAGTGTAAACAAATGGTTTCCATGGCGATCCGCAAAAATAGCTATAATAATAATAGCTATAAAAAAAGCTATAATTGCAGAGAGGGACATAAAGCACTAGTCTGCCTGTTTAGCTAATCCACAACGCGTTTTCCTTCAGAGTCACATGACTGAAACCAGTTATGAGAAGGGGGCTTTTTCTGGAATATATCACTACTAGTTAGCAAAGTTCTGCTTTTCAGTCTGTAATTCATTCTGTAATATTAGTTTGTTCGTTGTGTGTCGAGTTGTTAGCTAACGCTAGCTACGACATAGGCTAGCAATACTAAGCTACAAACAAAAAAACAAGCTAACATGGCAACGTGATTCTTTACAGTATATCGTTGGAGGACGAATTACACGATTCCACTAATGTTAAGTTTATAGTTTCTTTTAAATGACAAACCTCATCACCAGAGAAAACTGGATGATTTGGAAGTCACGTGGTCGTTACTTCTTGATGCCTGACGGCTAGCGTAGCTGCAATACCACTTTGGAAACGGAGGCGCTAGAGAGCACGATTTGTTAGTGTTAGCCCGATTCTTTAGTTGGAAACCAGAGAATAACCCAGGGTAGATCAAGAGTACAAAATGGCATTTATTGGGTCACAGGAGGTGTGATGGATAATCATCTTCTGAGCTGGGCCCGGACCGGAACCAACCGAGTGCTATTGGTCAGTTAGCTCTGACATGAACAGGCCAGCTGCTAATTCATGCAGATGACACTGGATTGTGGTATCAAAGTGTGT